TGCTGTCTCATTTGACTTTTTGTATATGTGAAAATTTGGCCTTAATTAGTATGTACTAGTTACCTCCTTACCCTCCCAGTGTACTACTGCCAAGGTAAAGGATCTGTGCTCCTGGTATTGTGGTGTTTATATATGTAGCATCGAGAGGGTCATTAAGAAGATTGCCAGAATAGTGGATGTTGGTTCCTTATTAATTACAGGATTCTTAAGTAATTTCTTTAGTGGTTAGTAAATAACCATGCTTGTTCAGACTGGATTGTTGGTTGTCTTGGGCTGCTAGGTAATAAGATTTTTTCCTAGTTTGTCTTGAACCTTTCTGTCTCCTAGTCTTTATGTTTTGAGAAGGCTGCTGGAGTGTAGTAGAGCACTACAAATAATAAATACCACCGACAAAATCAAGATAACCAAAAGCTTGTGTGGGAGGAGCAAAAGCCCATGATAAGGACTCTCAGAAATGTATGAGAAAAGGAAACAAAAATTGTTTTGATGGGAGGCACACTCAGAGAGGGAAGGAGGAGTAAGGAAAAAATAAGAGGATATAAGCAAAGGCATCGTCTTCAGAATCTTTGAAGGTGAGGGCAAGAATTTTGAATCTGAAGCAGAAGGCAGTAGGACTTCCCTTGAAGTTGAGCCTTGGTATGAAGTCTGTTTATATAAGACTGTAAGAATAGAAGTAATACTTGGTTATTAAATAAAAGTCCCTGTTCATGCATATTACTGGCCATTTTCCTAGTTTATGCAGGCTTTCTAAGCTCATGGCATCCTGTCAACTGCAACATTTATTGTGGTTAAAAGTACTGTAAGCAAAACCAAAATAGCAAGTTTTATAACCTTTTATAATACACTACAATATAAAAATTGGCAACAGTATAATGGAATTTAATAATTCAGGCCCAATATGCTGCTATCTGAAAACATAATTTTATTTTCCAAATCCTTTTCCTATTATGTACATTGTTTCTCTGTTTGCTGCACACAACCTTGTACTTTAAAAACAGATTCTAATAAGAGATATTCACTTTCTTTCAGAATTGATTGTTCACAATGAACTCTTCACAAGATTTGTTATTACTAAGGTTTATTCTTATCAGTATTAAAAAAAATTACATATTTGACTCAGAATAAAAATTCAGAAATTGAGTCTTTTTCTCTCATGGAAATTTCATTATAACTAAAATGTAAGATACAGTCTCCAAAGTCACCAAAATAACCTTGTATTCACCATAAAAATCAAATGTGTGTTTTTGTACCAAGAAGAAGAAAGGTCTGAGCCTATCGTCCTCATGCTAGCAAAACTCCACTGAAATCATTGAGAATTTTGCATGAGTAAATAGTTCAGGATCAGGCTCCATTGGCCTAGTCTTGTACCAGTGGATCAATGCGACCCTTGCTGTTGACTTCAGTGGGTGCAGGATCAAGTACCGTATGTCCTTTTATTATTTTCCAAGGGACTTTTTGTTTTGTTTGTTTCATTTTCGCAACTGAACTAGTTTTTTAGTATGCAGATCTTTAAAGTCTTTGAATGCAAGTTGCGCATACTCTGAAGGCAACATGCAAGTTGTAAACATTCTATAATGAAACTCCTTCAGGCTTTTATGAATGTCAGAATAGTTTGCTGTATGTGTGCCAACAACAGGTGATACCGATAGTGACACATATCAGTTAACTTTCAGAGTGGTAGCCATGTTAGTCTGTATCAGCAAAAAACCCAAAGAGTACTTGTGGCATCTTAGAGACTAACAAATTTATTTGGGCATAAGCTTTTCTGGGCTAAAACACACTTCTTCGGATGCATGCATTAGTTAACTTGTGATAATGATTTCAGTAGTTGGCTGACATTAAACAGTAAAAGATCCACACACAGATATACTAACATTTCTGTTTTTAAACCTTAAATGTGTGTTTTGACATTTGTTACAAAACAAGATAATAAACATCAGATGTCAGTCTAAAATTACAGTAATGTTCTGATCCCTAAATGAAAACATATGCAAATTCAAGAATATCCTTGCAAGAATATTGTCAAAGATACAATATTCCTGTCTGAGATTTATTGCGGGGGAGGGGGGAATGCTTAATCACTGCTGAGGTTGGACTTCTTAAATTTGGAAAAACTGACTTAAAGTTTGTATAATTTTTTGTTTCCTGGTCTTTCTTGCCAGAATTTACTTCTCCCCTTCCAGAGTGCTCCAACAACAACCAGACCCACAATCCCATGTGAAATTTTGGCCTGTCCAGTAAATGGTGTAGAAGAGGGAGCTTTCACTGCCTCAGCTTTTGCTTGTCTGAGAAGCTGGATCTGCTTTAATTAATAATGTACAATTTAAGTCCAGTGATATACCATATACAACCCTTATGTTCTATGTGTGTGGATTTTTTTTTGTTTCTTTGTTCATGTTTTTGTTTAAATACAGACAGTAGAACATATGGAGTCTGAGCAAGCTTTCTTTTAAAGGTGACCTTTCAAAGGGCTTTGGGGAGTTGTGTTTTTCACTTCTTCTTTTACTACTTTATGATGTACAAAGGACTGGTATATGTGTGTGTATGTGTTTTCTGTTTACATTAGAACTTTAGGTTTTGTCTACCTTGTTTTTCCGTTAAAGAGTCGGACGAACTAGTTAGGTTTGTGGCATTACTGATACCAAAGAGGGTGCAGTTGGCTTAACTGAAAAGAGAAATATTTTTCTTCACTGTTTACACTTCTTTGTTTGCTTTTTGTTTAACGTATATGCAAATTAAATGCCTAACAATTAGAAGGAAGAGTATCCTTATTAGAAATATAATTCTCCTACCCCTTTTGTGAAGGGATGAAAAAATTCTCAATCCTCTTGTCTGGGCCTTCAAATGTATACTTAGTAAAAATAAGGAAGACAAGACTTGATACTGGCAATGTATAAAACTTTTTGGACCTTCTTTATACATCATGAAGAAGCAAAAAAAAAAAAAAAAGACAATGTCCCTTCTTCTCCCTTTTTATTTTTTCGTTGACAGGTCACCTTTTGAAGGACATTCTCAACTCAGAATTCATATTTCTGGATCTGAAACCTTTTTATTTACTTAAGCCATCACTTGTTTAAAGGGTATTGAACTAGTTTTCTCTTCTCTTTCAGCCTATTTACTTTGAGTATTTGATAGTACTGTGTGCATAATCATTTTCTTATCTGTGTTGATAGTAAGTGTCACTTCCTACTCTCCTGTTTTAACTTCGTAACATTATGCTAATCTACTGTTGTGGGAATACATATGCATGTGTTTTTTCCAGACAGTGCAGGAGCTGTGCAGCTGCTGACACTTCACAGTTTAGCTGGATGTTGCTGTGGACTAACTCAGGGCTTGTCTACAGTGGCTGCAACTTTCTCGCTATGGGGTGTGGAAAAAACACCTCCCCAGTGCACCAGCGCTGGGAGTCACGCCCCTCATGGGGGTGTTTTTTTTTCGTTTTTTTTTTTAAAGCCGCAACTACACAAGCCACATTAAAGCGCTGCCGTGGCCATGCTCCCACATTGCCAGTGTAGATAAGCCCTCATTTTATATATATATATAAAATTGGTTTGTTAGGGAAATTGTTTTGGTCTTTCAGGAACCAACGTGTAACATCACCTCCTAGACACCTGCCAGAGCCAAGTAAATGAGCAGCTGGGTGGGTATCTGGGTGTCTGCTTCCTTGTACCCTTTCATTGATCCATGGAGACAGCCTATTTCCCTCATTCATTCCTGTCTCTCTTCTCTGATGCTAGAGAATGAAGATTTCCCACAGTCCCTTGATACCTTTCACATAGCTGTATGAGCAGTGGAAGCTGGAGGAAACCTCAAACCCCCTTAGGGCAAGGAGAAATGGAAGAAGAGATGTAGGAATGTTTTCAGTCTGTGCCTGTTCCCCCTCTTGCAGGATTGGGGACTCTGTGTGTGACTCTGTCCCCCCAAATTCTGCTCAGTACATGGGAAGTAGTTGTGGAAGAAACGTGGGAGGAGATAATGACCTTCACTGAGTCCTGTGTACAGGTGGAGTAGATATAGAAAGTAGAGGGATTTTTCGCTCCACAGATGCCTCCAGTGGACTACGGCGCAAAACAGAGTAGGAATAGAGCATGCTTGGGGTCAGGTGGGCCCTTAATCCTTTTGACCAGGGAGCATCACTGGGCTGGTTTTAGGGGAAACGGGAAATGTTGGGGACCTCACTTTGTCTCCTCCATGAAGGGGTGGGGAGTCCATATGGTTCCAAAACCAGACAGGAGGGGGTAGATGTTAGTGCTACGGTGACCAACAAACAGGAGGAGCAAGCCTTTCATTGTGGGGGCATACCTAAGTGGGACCTGTTTACTCTATTTGTGTTCTTGCAACTACCGTTAAAGGCAGTTGGAGATGAACTTGCATAACTGATGGGATGTTTGGCCCTGAATTACCAGAGGTCCCAAAAGCAGTGTGTGAGCACTTCTCTGCTAGAGCCACCCACGTAAACCTCAGCAGGGGAGCAAACAAATATTTACTGGCATATAAACTTAAGCAAAACCAAAACAAAAATGAGTTTTGGGTAGAACACTTGGCACACAATATACATTTATGTAGTACATTATTTACAAATAAAGGCTATTTTTGAAAAGTTCGCAATGTCCTTTAAATTGCAAAATAAAAATTATTTGGTTGTTTAATGCTAGATGCCAAGTTCAGCCTTGTTAAGCATATGAAACTCTACTGACGTCGGTGGGGTTTAGTACACTTGCACCAAGTCTGACTTTTCACTCGTCTCACATTCCAAGGCCAAAGTAATTTTTTAAAGCTTCCTTTTCAAGAATTTATATTGGAAAAATATAAATTTGGTCAATTTATTACATAGAAAATCTTAACCAAGAATTGCTTGAATAAAAATTTTCATAGTACTGGTGTTCAGTTTACAATATCAAGATTATTTTAACTTGTAAATAGCATGCAGCTTTATGACCAGTCTTCATAATGAAACATATCTCAACTTTCTCTCTCTTTCACTTCCTTTCTCTTTTAAGATGGTTTAGCCTAGAGTCCAAACAAGGGAAAAGAACTAAAGACAGAGGAGAAATAAAGGTCAATATTCAGTTTATGAGGAATAATATGACAGCAAGCATGTTTGATCTGTCAATGAAGGACAAAACAAAATCCCCCTTTGCTAAACTGAAAGACAAAATGAAGGGTCGAAAGAATGATGGGACACTTTCGGATACATCCTCTGCAATCATTCTGAGTACTCACATACCTGATACGAACATTGACATCTCCAGTAATGAAATACAAATAAAATCAAAACCTAAAAAACCTTTCCTTTTGGGACCTCAGCGATTATCTTCAGCTCATTCAATGTCTGATTTAACTGGATCACATGTCTCTTCAGAAAAAATGAAATCCAGCACAATTGGCCATACCAACCTTTTCAGAAGTCAGTTAGAATCTTTTAGTTCTGTCGATGAAAGTGGTAAGTAAAACATGTTTTTCTTCATCTTAGTCATTATGATTGTAGTCTCATTGCTATCAGTGTGAAAACATTTAAGTATCTGTTGAGTTTAGTGCATGCTTTAAATTCCAGACAAAGAAGTTTAGAATTATTTCTCTGTATGGTAGGTTAATTCATAGAAGTCTTGCCTTTTTGTTTAGATCAGTAAATGATGCGTATTTCCTGTTTAAATGTTGTTGCCAAGAAACAGGGAATAACTAGCTTCTGTGACTTGTTTCATTGCCCATTTTTTCCTAAGTTTAAAGTATACAGTAATAACATGACATTTTATGTAGCAATCCAATACAAAAAATAGTTTAACTGGTCAGAAATGTTTAAGAAAAAAATGAATCTGATCATGTTTTTTAGAATGTCTAGAAACTATCACCAGAGTAACTCTAATGTAGATGAAGAATTGAAAATGTTTTCAGTTGTGCAAAATTTCTTGCAGAACAATATGTTTGTCATTTTCTAAAACTTCAAACTAGTCACAGCCACCTCATGTGTACAACCTAATTTTCATATCAGTGGTTCTCAAACTTTAGCAACCCGAGGACTCCCACTGTGATTTAAAAATTTTTGCAGACCTTCAAAGTCGGCTTCTAATTTTCCCCGGGGGTGCTCAAGCCCTGCTTAGCTCCAGACCCCGCCCCCACTCCACCCCTTCCTCCAAGGCCCTGCCCCACCTCTTCCCTACCTTTGTCCTTCCTCTTCTTCACCTCTTCCCTCCCTTGAGCATGCTCCGTCCCAACTCTTCCTCCCTCCCAGCGCCTCCTGGATGCTGCTGATCAGCGGGCCAGTGGCCCCAGACATGAGTGACAGATCGCCCTGGAGTACGCTCACGGACCGCAGTTTGAGAACCACTGAGATAGAAAACAAGTGCTTATTGCAGAGCATATGGATTCCTTAAAAATTCCTTAACCACATACTGGGGACCACAACCGCTTTGCTTTTTTAAAAAATTCAGTAAAAATTGTTTTTTGAAATTAGAACCAATTGCAAAACTTCTAAACCTGAATTTAATAACATGAGCTCTCCACTGGTCATAAAGTGTGAGGTAATGTCTCACTGCTTATATACTAACAACAAAATTGTTTGCAGGAGGTCTAAAATCTCCACATAGGAGGACATTAAGTGCTGATACTTCTAAAATGAACCAGCTTGACAACACAGCTGATGAAAGTGAATCAGCATCTAAAGCACAAAATGACCCCTTTACAAATGTGAGTGCTTCATTACCCCAAAAGTTTGCTACGCTGCCAAGACAGAAAAATCCATTTGAAGAAAGCCCTGCATCATGGGACCAAAACATAAGTCTGTTTTCCAGGCCTGTTGAAATCAAAAAAGAAATTAAAAAAGAGAAAAAGGAGAAAGTTAGCCTTTTTGAAAGAGTGACTGGAAAAAAAGATAGCAAGAAGTTGGATAAACTTAGCAACGGGGGATCAGACAGTTCCACTGACTTGAAATCCCCTAGTGCATTTGATGCAAGTCATAAGGAGAGTTTTGATTATGATTCACGTAATCCATTTACAACCAACTTCAAGCCCACAAGCATGTTGCCTACATCTAGGTAAGTTTTACTTTATTTGGACCTGATATCTTGAGCATGTTATATAAATGAAAATGTGTTTAAGTATATAATAAAGCATACAGATTATATACGTTTATACAACGGCTCATCCGTTTGTAAGTAAAAAGGATGAATTTCTCATATAGTTTGATCATTTTCTTTCCAGTGGTATACTTCTAAGGATCTTTTTGAAGTTACATTGTGTATTGCAAACATGAGCTGTGAGTGCTGTTGGGTTTTGAGTTTCTGAAGACATTATACATCTTCAGCATGGCTTTGTCTTTAAAGTCTTGGCTTTAGATGGAGGCTTGTTTACTACTGAATCTAAATAGTGATCACTTTTTAGAAGTCACTAATTATTACAACACCTCTGTGTCTAAGATAAGATAGTTATTTCCTTTGCTAAGTAGAAGTATTGTGATATTTTAGATACAGAGTGCAAGTATTGATAAATTTTAATCTTATAATGGCATTTGCTACCTGGATCTAGAATAACGCCTAATTTCCCCTAGTTTATGGTCACATTACACATCGCATTTATAATGCAAATTTCATTCCATTAATTCCGCAGAGCCAGAAGTATAAAAGTTAGTCGTCTTTACTATATGATGAATATTGTAAGAAAATATCCATCATGTAATAGATTTAAATGAAAAATTTTACTTTTTACACATTCCAATATTATAGTCATATCAAAATCTTTGTGTATTCTCCCTGTGTTGACATATATTATGTGCAAATAATATTTTCCTTTGAATTAGAAACTTTTACTTATGAAACATATATATGTAATAACTTCACAATTTAACTTTATTTTTACAAATTTTAATTGGAATGTAAGTAAAATAGAATGTTTAATGTACATGTGGTATTAGTGATATGGTACAAAATGTCTAAATGTATACGTTTATAGATACAGCATAAGTTAGGCTGAAAAAGTTCACTTTCTTAAATGCATGTTCAATATTCGGATAAAATGTACATACTGAGAATTTGGATTTTGAGCTGCTTTTTGCTTAATTTCTATTTTCCTCATTCTCCACATTTTAATCTCTTTGTGGAAGGGACCTTGTTTCCTTACTCATCAAGTACCTAGCATATTTTTGATACTACGTAATAACAGTTTTTAGTCTGAAGTCTTCCTCCAGTTCTCCCCATCTTAGTACACTCAGAAATATCTGGGTAAATTTCCCAACTAGAGGCTTAAAAGGCAAGGTAATGTAAATTACAGACAAATGCTCTTGTCTTGCTTAAATTACAAAGAAACCATATACCTGGCCTCATGCAGCATGTGTCTGAAGATTATCTGATAGAACCTCAAGGCTGAAATATAAATTCTTTGTCATTTACGAAGTTTAAATGGAGAATGTATGAAGAACATAAAACTATTGTGAAGGTACTTTGGTACGACAGGGTCTATTTTTCAGGCATCAGGATGGCTGACAATTAAGCTTTTAATGTTGAAGGAAGTGTATCTCCTTTTTGAATCTGGGACTTAGGGTTTGAGGTGGTGGCTTTAGTTTTGGTATTGACCATAGCTGACTGGAGATTGGGATGATGCAAGATTTTTGTCTGGGTCAAGTGAATCTGAAAGACAGGCAATTTTTTTTTTGTCTGACTTATTATCTAAGCTACCTGGAGCACACATACTCGAAGGTAATTAGGTGGCTAACTTCCACACACACATACATACATGAACTCTTGGTGGGCCTACCATGCCTCTTGAAGTTAATGCGAGTCTTTCTATTGACTTCAGTGAGCTTTATATCAGACTCCAAGTTAATCCTAATTAATTTAGTTTGGCGTTTTTTGATTAAACAGTAATAATTTGAGGAATAGCATTTCCTGGTAATATAGATAATTATTGGCTAGATGAGTTCCTGGAAGGAGGCTTTTGTTCATCACCTAGCCAATCCACTAATTGCCCACCTTATTGATTATCCTTACTATTATAAAACAATACATTATGAAAATAAAAAGTAATTGTGTTTGCCACTTCAGAAGTGGAGAGAGATGTGAGTAGTTTGCTTACAGCACCTATTTGTTCCTAACAGTTAGATGGATGCAGTAGGGAAAGCAGGATTTCATTTTCATTGATCTGGTTAGCTTAATAAGGGTTAACCTGCTATTAGAGAATTACAATAAAATCAGCAAGAGTAAGAGATGTTGGAAATATGGAGATATAGGAACTCATAATTTCTGATAATCTCCACTCTGGCAAGAGCTCGTTCTCTACCCTTGAGCAAGTCATTTAACCTTTCTGCTTCAGTTTCCTTATTTGTAAAATGAGGATGATGCTTCTGTACCCCTTAAAAATTTTGTGAGGATGATATTACAGTTGATTAAAGGCTTTGAAGATGTAATGTATTGTGTAAATGGCAAGGATTATTTTCTTCCTCTTTTATTGTCTGGTGTAAATGAGTATTAGACACTTCTGTGCTAACTTCTTGATGTTTGAAATAAGTTATGGGCTTACAATAAAAGAAAACGCACTTTTTGTAAATGTTTATAAATCCATTAGTTCCAAGGCATTTACACCATGCAGCCAATGAGCAGTCACTAAGCATACAATATATGCTAGTATTCCTAGTCATCCTTTAACAGTAATAGGATTTGTCTTCATAATTCCTAATCCACTGCTTTGAAACTTTTGCCCTATATATTATATTGCATTCATTATTGTAATTGCTCCCATTAATTGATAGAGCTCTCAGGAGGTTAATCTGTGGACACCAGCCATGTTGTCTTTATACCGAACACACCTAAATAAATAGATATTTGTCTTCGAAAAATAAAAATCCTTCATAAAATGACCAAACCTTTGTGCATCTTTTCTCTAAAATTGTTTGTTTAAAAAAATAAAACTGATGTGAAAATTTCTCAATTTACACCACTTGACAGGTGCTAAAAGAAAAGCATCTTTAATTCTAATGTGTTGTTAGGACCTCTTTAGAGAGATTGTACAAGTTATTAACAAGGTCCTCTGAGACAGAAGACGGGTAATTAACAAGACCTACAGAAGGAGTTTAGGTAATTAATGAGCTTCTGGGTACTGGACAGGGGGTAACAGATAGTCCAATAGTTAAAGCTGACAGGTTGTTACTAGTATGATCAAATGGCAGATTTAGGAAAGTGATGTATGTGATAGATGTATGTGAACTTTCGAAGAATGATTTAAAAATAACCCTTTAGATTATATTTCTATGACAGAGTAGTCGTCATAACGGCAATTCTACACTTAAACAGTGTAGGAGCTAGTTAAAATTGAAATTTCATTATAGAATATCAAATGGATGTAGCACCCCAAAAGGGAAATGACATACTAAGGAAGCATGAGAGGAATTAGTACTAAGTGCCATGTATCTATAATCATTGTCTGTTTTTGAAAAAAGTCAGTTGAACAACTGACTAAACTTTCTGTGAACTAGATGTTCCAGAAGCTGAGCAGACTTAGATTGAGTTAAATGCCTTTATAGTAAATAAGAAGAGCCTTCTCTCCTCACATATCTGAGTTCTGATGAAACCACTCAGAAAAAATAAGAGAAAATTTGGTTACTTTCTTGATTTCTGGTTTCTTATAAAATACTTCTTATGTTGTGTATTTTAAGGAAAGAGGAAGGGAAATGTAGAAGTGGAGAAGGAGGGATTCTTCAAATATGCATTTAGATATACACCTCTACCCCGATATAATGTGACCCGATATAACATGAATTCAGATATAATTCAGTAAAGCAGCGCTCGGGGGGGGGGGGACTGCGGCTGCGGCTGTGCACTCCGGTGGATCAAAGGAAGTTCGATGTAACGCGGTTTCACCTATAACATGGTAAGTTTTTTTTGGCTCCCGAGGACAGCGTTATATCGGGGTAGAGGTGTACCAACCTGTTGGCCATCCACACAGTTTTGGAAGAAAAATACTATCAATTTGGTCAAAGAATGTTAATGTGGAAAGGTCACAATAGCGTACGGGGGGTGGAAATTTACCCATCCTTTGTGTTGATTCCAAAAGAGAATTTATAGTGCTTAAAATATAGGCGTTATTCCCATACTAACTTTGTCACCTCTTATGTGTATTACATTAATACTGTAATATTAACATCTTTACATACAATTGTGTTTGTAAGAAATATTTACAAAATTCTTATAGAAATAGATTTCAATTTGAATATATAGCATAACAACAAATACAAATAAAACCTGCATTCCTTCTATCCTGTAATCTATAGTGACAACTTACTGTGTTTTTAAATGTTCTTTTGCTACTTCAAACACACCTAAAAGTTGCATTTAAAAAAAAATAAGGCTTTTATTTACTCTGTTTTGCTTATCTTTCTTGTTTTGAGAACCGTTCCTAGATTTGACAGTTTGTCTCTTCAGTGAATCTCAATGGTTGTGCATCTCGTCATGCTTAACAGTCAGCCCTGGCTGTTGCTGGGTGTCTGCTGTTAGTAATGATGATGATAACTTCCTCTTTACAAATACTTCAACTAATTGTGAAAGTCTGAAATAACACAGATTTTTGCATTGCTCCTGTCTTCCTGACCTCTCATCACTGTGTTCTCACCAAACAGCTCTTGCCGTCTCTTCATTTTCAGATGCTATTTCACAGAACATAACGTTTGAGAGTCAGATGGCACAAAAATTACAGGAATTTTGAGAGCATCAAAGTGACCAGAACATACCAACTGAGAACAAAGAGCAGCACACAGTATATTTTCAGGCTTTAAAATTTCATTAAAGTTTAGTATGTGTCACTGTTACTTCTCAATTTCGCCCTTAAGCACGATGCACTGGGGCTTTCTTTCTGCAATAAGCTCCGTGTGAGTGGACCCCTGCTCTTGCACAGAGCCCATTACAGGAACGGTGCAAAGGAGTGCAATGTTGTAACTTTTAAAAGGAATAAGCAATGCATCTCTCTTCTTAGCTACTTTCCTTCATACACTTTGTTTTGGAGATCCTGCTTCCTGAAAACCCATTATTGTGCCTGCTGCAGTAATGAAGTC